CATTCCTGATGTATTTTGTCATGATCGGTGATGAGTTTCATATTATCCAGCACATGGAGAGCACAGGAGATGCAAAGCTTGCCTCCAGGAATTTATGATCTAGAAGGACAAGTATGAAACAGCTGTTAAAATACATACAGCAGAATATGACCAGAAGTTGGCATCATAACACAGCAGTTGCAGATACTCTGTTGTGGTTTTGATTTGGTAAATCTAGTATTTGTGCAGTGCTTGTGGCTAACCATATAACCCACAACCCATCTATCTCCAAATGAAGCTTTGGGGCAGTCAGCTCAAGGATGTGTGTCACTATTAATAAAAAGCGTTCAGTCCTGAGTGTAGGCTGCCACCGGCGTTGTGGTCCAAGAGTATGGTCAGCCAAGGGAATCTGAAATACAGGGTGCCAATGCAACAGCCTGGGTGCTGGTACCAGGATGTTACCTTATCACTGGTTTTCCCTAATGGGCCTAATTAAAATGCTATCTTCTGTGCTTACCTACACAAGAAGGAGTTTCGTACTTAGTTGCTACAGAAAATACCTTTTTCTGTATTGTTATTTGCTTTGCTAAACAGTGTAAGTGAACTTGAAGCTATCTTACTGGGTGTATTTAGGAAATGTAATTAAATAGTAAATTAAGAACCTGTGTATTATGGTGTGTAAATCTGCATTCATGAAGCACAATAGGAAAATAATGCCAGCAGCTTCGATTTGTAGACAAATAAATGCAATTGTGGTGTTGTGAAGGCTTCTATAAGACACTGAAGATAATAAAATAAACCAAGCTGACCCTTCCCCGCATATACAGAAATATTATCCTTCTGCTAACATTCAATTTCCATAACTAGGATAATATAAAAAATAAAATACTGTGTAAGGAAACAAATCTGCTGCTGAATCAGAATGGGCCTTTACTGCCTGAATGACAATCAGTTGACATTCAATTATCATGCTAATTGAATTAAAGCAAGCTGGAAATGGCTTAATTCCATAAGTATATGCTCCTGTCAAGTTACTTATTTAATAATTGTTGCTTGCTTGAGGGAGGAAGGGAAAAGGACCTATAAGAGATTTCTGAAGTGTTAAAAATAAAAATAGATATCACCAATATACACCATAGATAAGCTACAGCTTAGAAACCTACTTCTTGATACAGGAAAAACATTAGCTGTGTTGTTGGAGAGTACAGGTTTCAGCACCGTCTTAAGCAAGGAACATAAAACAGCTTAAGCCGTTGTCTGGGGTGCGCTTGAATGATGACACAAGCCTTTTGCCTCCCCAAAACAGCTGCAAGGTTGCAACTCTGTTAAACTTATTGCAACACAAAACTATTTAAGTTCAAGTGCTAAAAGCTCTCACAGCTGCAAAAAATAGGATGGGAGGGGCAGCTGACTTGCTCATACCTGTTGCAGGTCCTGCTGCAAATGCTGAGGACGCTCCCCTCTTGCTCTGCTCTCTTAAACCTCCAGCACCAGTACTGGCTAGCTCAAGGGCAGCGATCCCACTGCCGGAGCCATATTCATTCACGTTCAGAGAAAAGCGCTGACAGCTAGACCTTGTCGTTACTGATGAGAAGGGACAACTCCTCAGATATTCTGAACCTACCCTCACTTTTAAAGTAAGCCAGGACCCAGTGTTTTTTTTCCAAAACTAATGTGAGGATCATCAGCCCGCTTGGATGTTGCCTAAACAGTAGGCTTCTTGCAAAGGACAACGGCATCAAGATATACACAAGGGTAGCCTCAGCCGTTGTCCCCAGATGCCGCATGGATACCTTAGGAGGGAGGAAGCAGGGAGAGCCAAATGCCCTCGGGACAGGCCAGCCTGCTGGATGCAATCCAAAATACCAAAGCAGACTGGAGTGACCAAAACCTCTCCCTATCCAGTAAGGAAAGGTTGATCGTAATGACCTCCTCTTACATGGTTAATGTACATACCACCATGAAAAAGCACTGTTGTCTTGACTATTATTGGCTCACGAGAAGACCAAAGAAAAGAAGGCAAAACTATGATGGGTGTCCTGAATGCAGTAGAGATATAGGTGGGAAAGAATTAAAAACTGCCGATATAGTGACATTCGTGCAAAGTAGTGGTGTTTTAAGTGGAGATTTACAGCCCTGTTGTTAGCTTCATATTATTGAGTTAACCTTGTGCAATATGACTATTTGAGGGAAAAGTCAGGTCCCAGAGGACTCTTTCAATACACTGTGACTGTAAAAGCACAGTAGGACTGTACATTTTTTATATTTGTGTAATGCAAAATAAAACCCAGTCTGGAAGCAGTAGATACATGATCGTTTAAAGATCGTTATTCTTTGTAAAATTCTTTGTTCCATTATGTTTTTTAAACTGGCTATCAGAATGATTCAGAGGTATTACAGTATACAAAACAATATAAATTAGTCTTTGTTCTGTAGGTCAAGCTAAATTCATTTTAGCAGCCAGGAACAGATTGACTAATTTTTTATTCATTTTCTAAATAAACAGTACATTTCCCTAATAATCACAAACGATTACAACTTAAAAAGCAAATTGCTACTTTTTTTTTTCTTGCAAAACAATAAGAGGTCAGCCAACACTATATATTTATCTTAATCTGGAGAAATTACAAGGGTGCCCATACACAGTTGCACAGAGAGCTGCACAGCTAAAACAAGGTTTTTTTCCTCTTTATCTTTATATTTACAATTTTAGAAGCTTAGGACTTCTCTGCTTCCACTATGATCTTTTGCTTCCCCGAGAAGCAAAATCTCTAATCCTTTGTGGCAACCTCCAAGTTTTGCCAGCCCAAATCAGGATTGTTCTGTCTCTGAAAGCAAAGCCTCAGTGAAACAAAAAATGTTTCACAAGCACATTCTTTATAAAAATGATGTTGTGCTGGATCCTTCCAGCCTAACTCTGCTGCTCTCACTTTGTAGATTAGACTCGTGTTGTCCTGTGTGTTTGTGCAGTCTGTGCTTCCACATCTTCTCCGTAATGAGACTGCTCTGGTTTTATTGGAGAACAGGGTGATCAAAAGAGATCAGTTTAAAGTTTCATAAAGTTTATCATTCTGGAGAGGAGATGCATGTTATGTGTGTGTTTTTCACCTGTAGAATTCATGAGAACATCTCAAAATAGTCATAAATTGCTTTAACTATCTTTTGCCTTTGAATCAATAGCCCAAATAGACCAGGTAGTGCTGAGTGGTGGGGGAAGGTAGGTCATCGTTACTCACATCACGGAGGTGTTCCCCAAGTGCCTGGGGTGTGCCTAAAGAAAGCTAAAGAAATTTGCCTGAAGAAATTGGCAGCAGACACTCAAAGTTGCAGTTCCATTTTACGTAGTATTGAGGGTCCCAAATGTCCATGACAACATGAATCACTCTCTGCCCTGGGCCTATAACTGACTAAAAAAAAATGTAAAATTTAACAGCAATAAACAAGTAAAATTTTTCTCCCTTTATTTGTCTCCCTTATTTTTCAACCTTCCACCTGGATATTTTTAAGGTTTTCAAGGAAGGCTAGGGATCAGTTCTGCTTATTATATGAAGGCAAGATGCTTGTATGACTCCAAAATTTAACCTTTAAAAAAAAGCGTAGACTAGTGAGAAACTCATGATAATATTTACAAAGAGAAATGCTGGCTTGTTCCAGAAACTGTCACTGACATCACTAACAGCAAGTCATAAGCTCGGCTCCACAGGTCAGAAACGGGTTCTCCTCTTGGGAACTTTCAGCCCTTAATATCTACCTATGTTTTTCTAACATCGTGTTACTACAGTGCTATGATACAGTGCTATGATATGTTACTACAGTGCAGATAATTTTTGATCTTGAAATTTGGGCAAAATTGAAATGACTCTTGAAGCTCTTTAATCTATTATGAGATTGTGCATATGCCGCATTTAAAATAATTTGGTGAGTTGAGAGAAATGTACAGAAATAGATCCATGCTCCTGAGAAGTTAATTAGAACGATACGGGATCAAGACTGGAATAATGACTAACATTTATTATTCTTAGCAGCTCTGTGAAGCTTCTTTGACTGCCCCCAACAGTTTATCCGGAGAAGAGAGAAAGCCTCTTGGCTGATGTGTGTGGTGCAGTCATCCCTTATTTCATTTAGCTCCAATGTATTTCTACAAACATTTTCATATTTCCCAGAGGCTTATAAGTTGTCTTACAGCAGAAGTCAGTGAAGAGGCCCCCATCTGCCATCCCCCCATACCCTAAAGTTGGGGTCACTTTGAACAATTAAACCTGAGATGCTAGGAGGGATATTGTTTTTTCAGTACTACTGGGTAGTTAAAGGGTGTTTCACAGTTGGAACTGTATTTTCTTTAAAATATTTGATGTTTATTATTTCACTTTTTAAGCAGTATCAGGAGGAAAGACTGTTTACTTAGAAAGGTTTTATGAAGATGCATGAGACACACCAGTGATGTATAAAAACAAAACCAGATTAATTTACCAATGTGACACTCTTTGTTTTTAGGTATACAAAAAGAAAACTGAAGCTGCCAAGAAGGAATATCTGAAGCAGTTAGCTGCCTACAGAGCAAGCCTTGTATCCAAGGTAACACATAATATATATATACATACATTTATATATATAGTGACATATTGCAAACCATTTTTAGCATTTATATGGTGCTGAGCACTATAGTATTTAGTGCAAATAGCCTTGTTTGTTCTCACCTTAAACTTAGGATATTCATTCTATGTGTAAATGCTCAATAAAAACAGTTAACTCTCAGTGAAAAAATATCCTCTCCTGTCTAGTTTTAGTGACAGCACTTCTCCAGGCTGGCAGTATCATCGCATTCGAACAAAGGAAGGATATACCAGTAAAAGACCACAGTGTAACAAGTAGATGCCATGCCTGGCAAGAACCAGTCCACCTGTAAGGGGAAAACCATATCACGTACACAGTGCCTAGATTTCTTTTTAAATACTGACTCCTACCTTGCAATCACAGTGCAGAAAAAGTCAGTACTCATATGAAAACATGAATTTTCATTTTACATTCAGCAAGCAATTTGCATGAACCCAATATAGTTCATGTTGTGGCTCTTGTACTGGAACATTAGTGTATCTCTAGTATACAACTAGCAGCGACTTTAGATATTGGTTTATTCAAATGTTCTTAGTGCCCATGACTTTGTAATAGGCTGTTTAAAGCCTGCAGAAGAATGTGAAATTACTGCATATGTGACTGTGAAATAACAGTGGAGCAGCTTCAGAATCATACTAGTTAGGATCACTTCTGTTCCGCATCTCTCACAGAAATCTATATGTTTATAAGGTCAAAGTTAGAAATATTTTGCTCTTACATAAATAAAACTAACATTAGAAGTAAAGATGGTGGAACTGGAGGAATACACATACATGACATCAGTAGAACTTTTTGTTAGTTTTAAGGGTATTGGGGAGTTAATTTAGTTCTTTGCTCTACTAGTCTGTATCCTATATGAACTGTTACACATTTTCAGTGGAAAGATTATAAAATTAACCATGCAAGGATTTTTCATACGTCTTTCTACATTATCTTAGTATTTAGTTAGTGTTTGTGCTGAATTTCAAAATCTGAAATATGGGTGTTACCTTGTTCTTTTTTTGTGTTGTGCATTATGCATTTTAAATTTGTAACCACCATCATAAACACCAATGCATTAGTTAAGGGAAGTACAGGATACCTGTAATTCCTGTCTTAGGGCTATATGATTCTAGAAATAATCATTGTCTTTAAAATGGAATTTTCCAAATGGTAATACTTTATCAAGGTTCCATTCTGCATAGATACCGATTGTTTGAAATAGCCAACTTATTGGCAAAAAATACATCAAACAAGCTCAAAATATTCCGATAGGTTTTGAAGATACTTATGAAGCCAGCTCTTCACTTGCAAGAATAACTCAGATATCACTATTTAGCACATCATGGACTGTTTATATAAAACTCTAAATAGCTTCACTTTGCAAAGACAAACATAGCAAACCTGAGATTTTTACTTCAGTTTTATTTTCTGGGAAAAGAGAAAAAACTATCTGCCTGGTATTTTCTGGGGTTTGCTTTTAGAAGAATATTTTTAAAGACTGTTGACCAGTTCCATGCATGAAGCCATTTGTGCGTATGTTTAAATCAGCTTTTAGTCAGAAAAGCACTGAAGCATTTTCATAACTTTTAACCATTTATTCAAATTCTCTCCAAAATGTAATGTTTTGCTGTAGTGTGGAAGGTATCAAAATATAAACTTAATGAAGCCAAGCCTTAATTACTTACTCACATGAATAGGGTCAGTGAATACAACAGAGCTGCCGTTTACCTAAAGCGAGCTCAATTTGGTATAAGGATGTAAAAAGCCCAGATGTAATAGTAGATCAATATATTCTATATTATCATTATTAAATATTTATATGGCACCAAAGATTTGTGATTCTTTAGATAAGCATCTAACCACAGAGTAATATATAATACATTGTTAAGATTCACTGTGTGGAGTCCATCTGTTCTATTATTTCCATCTATTATATTATCCTACACAGAAGGTACCTTCAGAGGATATTATTAAGATTACAGGACCATGTTCTCAAAAGCTAATACGTGCCAGAAGTAACACACCTTTTCCAAAAATGCTTTAATACAATATTAGTGATTTGTTCAAATAGTATGTTTGATACTTTAAGCCCATTCAACGTGAGTCTCATTTCATAGGCTTACAATCCGGTGTTCACTGTGGAAGCCCCTGTGTTGTATTTAATGCATATTGCAAAGCCCTGCTTCCTTATGGGCTTTTCTACACTGCTCATCCCAACAGCAGTATAGTGTAGAAAGATTGTTAATTCACCTTCTCAGTGATACTCTGGAGCAGGAAGTTTGTATTGGCCATGTTTTCAAGCACAACTAAAACATTGTGAAAGGAAGTTTTTGATCATTTTGGATGTCCTGCTTTGAGATATCTTAAAACTTCGTTTTTCAGAGTATTTGAGTGATACTGCACTTTCTGTGTCCATAGCACAGCTCCAATGACTTCAGTGCCAGCTGACTGGCAGCTAGGAGCTGTTCAGTGGTACTTCACATTGAACATCAGGACATCCATTTGCCCTCCAAACTATAGGAACTGCATGTAGGTGTAAGTGAATGTGTGTGTGCGCGTGTGTGTGTGTGTTTGCATTTATGTGCAAGTCTTCATTTTTCCAAAACACAAAGGAATGGACATATGCCACTTCATACACTGCGCCCATCATCACCATTTGAGCTGCTGGAATACTTGATCAGGATATGAAATTGTCTTTCCCCAGCACAGACATGGGGCATGCTGTTTTTGCCAGATGTCTTAGCCTCTTCCTGACAGTAGAATAATGAAATTCAAGACCACTGGTTTCCATCCCAAACTCAGGGGGCAGTCATGTAGGGACTGCAGACTTCTCTGTGATGCTGAGCACTTTGCTCCTTTTTGTCCTGCTTCTTTCTCTCCTCTTGCCCTGCACTCAAACATTGACTTTGGCCAGACCTTTTCCTAGTCCTTTCTCTTGTCCTTGACGCTCACTGGCTCCTCCACATGCCCGCTGTCACATAAGCCTCGTGAAGGAACATGTGAACCAGAGACTGGCCTCCTACCCTTAGTCAAAAAGAGCCTTGAGTTTTAAATATGCATCTTAAGCAACTTTAATAGCTAAAGTTACCTGAAGGAAATAAATGTATTTTTGCTCATGTAGGAGTTTGGTCAACTGCAAATTGAGGATGAGGAGGTGGGGTGTGTCACTAATTTTCCAATTGGTTTATAAATTTGGGTGTCATTTCATGGGAAGACAAGATGGTCATCTTTCACACAGTCTGCCAAGGTCTCTTCCAAATTTGAAGGCCCTGTTCCATTGTATCTTGAGGAGGGCAACAAGTCTTTTTGGCAGAGAGTCATACTGTGCTTTTCTCTAGGTTGATTCTTGACAAAACTAAACAGCTCTGGTTGGAATTTATCACCTCTGCATGCACACACACACATGCACACACACAAAAGTCACTCAGACACCTGGTATGTATAGTTTCAGGCTGTGATATTTGACAAAATTATAACTGAAAAGAATGGAAGTGGCACTAGAAAATTCAGTAAAAGTCTTGTCAGGCCATCTCTAGTACCTTTTGAAATGCTTTAGCGTTGTCTTTATAAAATAGGACTACCACCCAGTAAATAAGGTAAACATATGATTGCATAAATGTGTTGTTATGCATTAACCCCTATTAAATCTATCAGTATATTTACTATGTTTTTCCCTTCTTGTTCACAATGATTGAAATTAATAGGGCTGTAGCTGAGCTTGTTCACGTGTGTAGAAATTGATATGTAAAGTAAAAATCACATTGCAAAGCATTATATCTTCTGCTATGCAGATTGCCGTATTGCTTATAGTACTGACTAAGCCTTTGCATTGTAAACAAGTGTCTTTATATTTGCCCTTAGTTGCAACTTTTAGTACCATCCAGGTCCAGAAATGCAGTCTACGGTATCTGGTAATTTGTACAGCATTCATAAAATGCTGTGAATTGCAATTTTACTTTTTCATAAAACAAGCACATTTTCTAGCTTAACCTGCCTTTTTTCTGGCTGACAGTAGAGTTTTTGCTGTATCTTTCAAATATGTGTATTTAATATAGATATAGATTTGTAAGTTAATATATATGCACAATGTACACGTAGGTATGTATATGTTTAAACATATGCATATTGTATATTTAACATATGCATAATACAAATATGCATATACATGGTACATATATGTATATTAAATATAACAGTATAAATTTAAGTGTTTAAGGAGTACAAAGAAGATTCCTCCTCCCTGTTTTATTCTCTCTGGCTAAATGAATCTTTAATTCTCTTCTGTATAGTGGCACAACTTCAGATTTCAGACATATTTCAGACATATTTTAGCAGCTATGGCTGGAACTAAAACCTCTCAGCAAGGAGAATATTATTCAAATTCAAAATACTCAAGCATATATCAAAACTCTGGTGCTGTATCTAAGTCAAAATTGTGTCCTCACTTGACATTGCAGCAAACACACTGGACTGTTTTAAGTGTTGAGAACAGTGCACATCTTTTGAACATGTAATATTGCTCCTTGAAGTATATGGCAAACTTAACTTTTCTAGCCTCCACTTGCAATTACTTTTCATAAAGAACTAAAGGTCAGATCCAGGAAGCCTGGCATTGCCTTATTGCCATAAGCACAGCAATTTGTAACCGGAGGGTTTCCAGGCGTCCAAAATCTATTTCACATGTGTAGCATTGCCTATATTTTAATATAATTGAACAGCCTAAGGAATTCCATTCAGGCCTTTTGAGACTGCAGTGAATACACAGTGAAAAGTTTGGCTTCTTGCGAAAAGCAAATAGAGACCATATAAGGAAAAAGAAACAGTAGTCATGATGGTATGAGTTTCCCATTTTGTAGGTATACATGGTGAGAGCGCTTGCCTAAGGTATGAAAAGCCAAAAAAAAAAAAAAAAAGCTGTCCCAGGAGTAGAAACCGGGTTGTGCGTCTCCCCACTCCTAAGTAAATGCAGATGTACAGGC